GGAAAATAGAAAGAAAAAAGACAGAAAGAAAGAAAGTAAAAAATGGAAATCGGAAAATAAATAAATAAATAAATAATAATAAAAAGAAAAGAATGAAAGAAAAGAAAAGAAAGAAAAATGGTAAAGAAAGAAATAATAAAAAGCGCAATACAGATAAGGAAAGAAAGAAAGTATTTAAAGGAAAGAAAGCATGAAAACAAGAAAGAAAGAAAAAGACCGAAAAAAAGAAAGAAAGCGAGAAAATAAAGGAAAATAATAAAGAAAGAAATAGTGAAAAGAAAAAACAGGTTAGAAAGAAAGAAAAAACAAAACAAGATCAAATAAAAGAAAGAAAGAAACACCAAAACGGGAAAAAAAGACAAAAAAAAAAAAGACAAAAAGGAAGGAAGAAAAAGAGAAAGCAAGAAAAGAAAGGAAAATAATAAAGAAAGAAATAATGAAAATATCAATACAGATGTGAAATAAAGAAAGAAAGCAACAAAGAAACAAAAGAAAAGTAAAGGAAAAAAAGGCTTTAAAGAAAAAAAAAACATTAAAATGGGAAACAAATAAAGAAATGCTTTAAAGAAAAGAGTTTAAGAAAAAAAAACACGAAAAAAATGCAAAGAGGTATAATTGTGAGTTGAGAGATATTAAAAGAACAACGAGGGAAATAAAAGAAGAGAATTCTGCAAAACAATATGAAGAATATTAGCAGTCAAACAATAAACAACTGAATGAACAAACAAGTTAAAAAGTCGTCCATGCGGGACTAGAGTAGAAGACCATAAAAACAAATCTGGTCCCGGGTCTCTAAAATAGCATCCCCAGCTGGGACTTCCATCGTTTACCGTTGTCGGCCATTCACCCATTCGTCTATTTACTTATTCGTTCATTAATTCACACAAATAATTCATTCAATTTAAAAAAAAAGAAAAAAAAAGGCGTTCATCGCCCTTTCTTTAGGTTTAGTAACGCAATAGAGAAAAAGAAAATAAAGGGTCACTTGAATAATCGAAGTCTTTGTTCGTTACGTTTCTGAAGGGGAGTTTTGTGACGGTTTCCACATTTTTGGGCCTATTTTTAGGGGATTGTACTTTAGTCCAAAGATTGATGAGTATTATTCATGTTAACACAAAAAACTCCTCTTTGTAGATGCACACACACACACACACAAACGCACGCACACACACACACACAAACACGCACGCAAATATACACAGTTATATATGATAAAATATAGTTTTTAAAGTATGCTATATTTGAGGGAATCAAGGGCACAAGGATAGTGTGAAAATAGGTATTAACATGGATGACGAAATTCGACCAACCCTTCCAACCACATGGCATAGCCATTATCTTTTAACATGAAATAGACTATGACAGTTCGGTTCTGATATCTATGTCCACAGTATTATATATATATATATATATATATATATATATATTATATATTATATACACATCATGTTGGACGCAATCGTCAAGATTTGCGGCCTGACGATTACGTCAAACATAAAACAGCCTATCGCCTCTGAGTGTTGACTTCAATGTTCATTTATATACTTATATTTACATACGCTCTATCTCTGATATTGAGCACTTTTTTTCCCATATAAATATAGCACACCTTAAAACTATATTTCTTCATATATATATATATATATATATATATATATATATATATATATATATATATATATATATATATATATATATATATATATTGTATTTAGGCAGCAATACCTTTTTTTAAACACGTTTCATTAAAGACGGCAGACAAGGTACAGTGATTAAGCTTTTTATTTAATTTTTCTTGTGTTCAAACAAGGGTTTTCTTTTCTGGACACAGAGTGTGTAGAAACTCTTCAAATGTTCTGTAATTCCGAGCGCTTTCGGCTATACTTTTAGTCATTGTCAAGGATGATTTTAGTTTTACTTTTAATAGGATGTATGGTTTGTGTGGATGTATCTAGAGTTATAGGCATGTTTTATTTTATTTATTAAACAGTAAATTTAGGTGTGGTTGAATAATGCCTTTAAGTGAAATTTGTCACGTCATAGATTTCTGGAAATTTTCCTGTTTGCTCAGTTTCGTATCCAAACGTAAACAAAGCGATTTAACCCAATATCAAGCAATGGATTTTTATTTATTAATCCAATAGATTTCATCATTTAAACGTTATTAGGTACAGAGGAAGCGTCTAGTTCGCAAGGTTAAATTACTCTTTTTAAATTAAATTCTATTTTTGCTAAACAGTCGTTTTCTTTATATCAAAATGGTTGAGCACATCAGATTATACGACGGTTCCGTGTAGGATACAGGTTCGATTCCTGTCGGAGAACACATAATTTCGGAGCGACTTATCGGACATTCAGCCTGGTAAAAGTTGTTAATACTGTTTAGTATAAAGAAACCATTTACTTTGTGTCGATATAAATAACGAATAAACAGAAAATATATTAAAATAAGTGTCGGACTTAGTCCATTTCATAGTTATATTTTCTTTCTGTCTCTCTCTCTCTCTCTCTCTCTATATATATATATATATATATATATATATATATATATATATATATATATATATATATATATATATATATGGGGTATATGTCAATATTATATATATCAAACATATATATATATATATATGCGCCAGTGTGTGTCTAAGAATTTTTGTGGCGTGTGTGCAACTATGTGAAAAGTATTAAAACAGGTATATATATTTATGCGTGTGGGAGGAGGTTAAACATTTACTGTCTTTTATGATCGTCCCACAGAAGTTGGTGTCAGTTGATGTCTGTGTATGTGTGAAGCTTTTGATCACATTGTCTGTCTGCTTTCAAGTTCCCTTATGAAAAGTTCCTAATTTGTGTTCGTTTTTTTTTTTTTTTAACATTGATCCGAATTGCTTTCTTTTTGCAGCCTCATTGCCTGCTTGTCAGCGTTTTCAACATACCGGAAGTTAGAACTGGCCCAAAATGAAAACACTTCCGACGACTTTCCCGCATTTTGCTGAAGCGGAGAAGGAATAAACTTCAAAATATATTCAGAATGTTCAACAGGACTTTGAATGAAAATAAGAAGGTAAAAAAAATGTTTGTGGTTCAAAGTGCAGGAATCAAAATATAAATTTTTAGTATTTATTAAACAAAATGCAAGAAATATATGTATGTGTGTGTATGCGTACATTTGGATGTGTATATTAGCTTACATATATACGAAGGATTGATAAAAAGTTCTGAGTCAAAATATTTGAAATCATACTCTGATATTTTGTAAAGTTTTGGTAATGGAGACGAGATCTTTTCAAGTAAACCCTTCCTGCTTCCTATCAGAATGGCTGATGCCCAACTCGAAAAGAGCGTCACTCTGCGCTTGCATGGTCTCACGCTGTACACTGACCTGAAGTGGAACAACTACATTGAATCAACAGCTTCATCTATCGCAAGGAAATTTGGTACTCTGTGGTGCGCCATAGGGTTTTTTCTCGCCTGAATCCATCCTTCAAATCTACAAATCTACCATTCGTCCTTGCATTGAGTAGTAGAAAACTATATAGTATTCATTAGTACAAGTATTTATACAAAGTTGTGCATTGTTATCCATCACCGTAATTACCGTATTTGGGAAATTAAAATAAAAGAAATTTCAACAGCTATAGCACATTTCTCTCATCCTTTAAAATCAATACAAGGAAAGTTATTCGTGAGTATGAACAGATTTTGTTAAAAATTAGCAGACACCCTGTAATTTATTCAATTAGACATACCTGAAAGAGAATTTTCTGCCTAAATACACAAATTTATATATATAATATTGTGTTTAAGTATGAAACAGACAGTTGCCTTTGGGTGTTGACTTTAATGTACACTTTTAGATTTATATACGATCTACGTTTGATATTCAGCACTTTAACCCACATACATAGAATAGTACATTTTTTATTTTTATATATATATATATATATATATATATATATATATATATATTAAAGACATTTTTATGTTTAACGTTTTTTTTTTATAGATGCAAGTATTTAAGTAAATGCTCTGTTTATAATAAACAGTATTAAATAACATTTACCGGTCTGAATGTCCGAGAAATTTTTCATAGAAAATATTCGAACCTGCATCCTATACGGAACCGTCATTTACGCTGACGTGCCTTACCGATCGGCCACAAAGAATCAAATCTCTGTGTTGGTGTCGGGATTTCAGTTCTTAGGATCTGATCTGCTTGGCCCTCATACTTCGAATTCGATGGGAAAGTTGAGTATATATATAATTTTTTCACTCCAAGCAAGGCAATAAAATCACCGAGACACAAGAGGGTTACTAAGTGTTAAAGAATACAAGAAAAAGAAAAACATTATTAAAGAACGATAAAAGAGGACCCCAGAAGATTGAAGATATCGATTGACACTGCATTTACATTTTTGAAAATCAAAGTTAACTGGGAATCAAGGAACCGGAAGAGGGTTTCACAAAGAAGAAATGTGAGAGAGGAAACTGTTAGCATAGAACTTGCGGTTACATTTAGCCATTTCAACTGTAAAACGATGAAACATCTAGTACTGTGTTAACTCAATTCACACACGACATATTGAGGGAAGGAAGGTAGCGAACAACCACGAGTAACTTACCTAATGTAATAATTCGCATTTACACAATGCAAATAGCACTTGTTCGCTTTCGAACTTGTAAATAAGGTAAGGTAACAGGTCTAAAACTATCGCAGCTACTTGAAAAAGGCACGAGAAAAGTGCACAAATAAACGATCACTTTTGTCCAATTTAAATTCAGAAGCATTCAGACGACAGCTTCCGCATTTGCAGTTAACAAGCTCGACTGCCATTGCTACAATGCGTTATCTATTTTGACAACCAAGACGATTCAGCGTTCCTCTCACCCTCAGACTCTGACATCCAGGCGTTCGGGTGTCCATGACCTAGACACAAACACAGTGTACCTCCAGAGGAACTTGTCACCTCAAATAAGAAAAGATACGCGTGAAAAGCATGAACGGTTTCCTGATTCCAACCAATATCACTCATTCGCCATCTTTGTCGTCTTTATATGTCACCTCTTCCCCTCCCTCCTCCTCTTCCTCGCCCTCCTCCTCCTTCTTCTCCTCAGCATCATCATCATCATCATTCCGTCTCGCTCTTTTCTTTTTTCATTTCCGACTTTCTTTTTTACCCCTCTTCGTTCCCCTTTTTCACTTCTCATCTCCTCGTCTAAATAACTCTTCTTTCCCACTTCAGTGTTTATTGTTATCTCCTCGTCTAAATAACCTTCTTTTTTCATGTTTATTACTCTTTTTTTGCTCGATTGCTCTCTGTTCACATTCCTCTCTCGCAAATTCACTTCCTTCCCTAGCGCTTCCTCCTCCTGTCACTCTTACGCATTTATCTGCTATATTTTCGCTTTCTTGTCGTGATTCGTCCCTTTTAACTTCGCATTCCCGGACATTCTTAATATCTTTTCTTTCTTGTCTTTCTGTAAGTTTTCCACTTTCTTTATCAGTTTCACATCTTTATCTATCTAGACTTTTCCTACACATTCTATGTATTTTTTCTTTTATTTCTTGATTTTCATTTTCGCAGACCTTTACATTAAGCAGTTTTCCATCTTTTTGCTGACATCATTTTATCTTCCAGTTTTTGAAAACTCCCTCTTCCTTTTTTCTCCTACTCATACTCTTCTCATTTCCCTCCTCCTTCCCCTCCTTCTAATTTCCCTTCAGCCCCTTTCGCAACTACTCTCCTCTTCCTCTTCTCATCCTTTTCCTCCTATAATTGCTTCTTCTCTTTCTTCTTTTTCGAGCTATTCATCTTTTTTGTTAAACATTTTGTCTTTCGACTTTTTGTATCTTTTCATTACCTCGCTCTCTTCATTCTACAAGGTAACCAAAAAAGTTCTGTCCGTTTTTTGACCGCCTATGCACCCACGCAAGATTATGCTTTGTGTCTGGTGGACAGGTCGTCAAGTGGTTCATTATGAACTGCTACCAACGGGCCAAACGGTCACTGGAGACCTATACTCGCAGCAATTGAAATGTGTGCAACGGGCATTGCGCCAGAAGGAGCCAGCACTGGTGAATTGCAAAGGTGTGCTTTTCCTCCATGACAACGCCAGGCCGCATGTCGCACGAGTGGTCAGGGATACCATACAACAACTTGGGTGGGAGACTTTGTGCCACACACCTTATTCACCTGACCTTGCGCCATCTGATTACCACCTCTTTCACTCCCTGGATAATCATCTTCATGGGAAATCCTTCACCAATGAAGCGGACTTGCGCAAAGCCATCACGGACTTCTTTGGGTCAAAACCACCCGAGTTCTACCGCAAGGGCATTGAACAGCTGGAGACACGTTGGCAGAAGGTGCTGGATGCCGATGGCGATAACTTCGAAGAGTAAATATAAGTTACACATACTGTGAAGCGTTTTCTTTTTTTTCCTTTAAAACGGACAGAACTTTTTTGGTTACCTTGTACTATTTCCACTTTCCTCTACTCCTTTCTTTTATTATTCTAAATTCCGGTCCTCCGTATGCTTTCCTCCGCCTCCTCCTCCACGTCATATACTTTCCTTTTCCTCTCTGTCCACCTTATACTCTTTCCTTTTCATCAAACTTCACCTCGTCCCTTTTCCTTTTTCTCTCCCCGCCTCATATTTTTCCCTTTACTCTTCCTTTGCTTTATAGTATTTTCTTTCCCTCCACCTCATCCTCTTTCATCTGCCTCTCACTTCACCTCATATATTTTCTCTTTCCTCTCTGTCCACCTCATACTCTTTCCTTTTCATCACACTTCACCTCTTCCCTTTTTCATTTTTCTCTCCCAGTCTCATATTTTTCTACTCTTCCTTTGCCGGATACTATTTTCTTTCCCTCCACTTTTCAGACTCTTTCATCTGCCTCTCACTTTACCTCATTCTCTTTCCTGTTCCCCCTCCACCTTATACTTCTTCCTGTCTCTCTTTTTCTACCTGAAACGCAATTTATTTTTCTCTAACTCATACTATTTCCTTTTCCTCTCACTTATGCTCACACGTTTTAATTTTCTTCCTCAATCGCCTTCATTTTTCTTTCTACCCATTTCATTCTCTATCCTTTTATCTCCCTACACATCATTAACTTTCATTTACTTGTCCCTCTACCTTATATCTTTCATTCTTAAATTATTTCGCAATTCATTTTCTTTGATTCTGATGGAGAGATCACCATCTTTCTTGCTTATTGGCGATCTTAGTTAAATCATTTGTCAGCCATATTAGGTTTGATCCTGCTTGAACTATAGTAAATACCTTGGTGATACAGAAATTCTACTCATTTTTGTTGCTAAAGCTGTAAAACGTCAACGAGAAGTGCTATTTCCTTTCTTAATTCAGGCACATTTTTGAAGAGTCAACAAATACGGGCGTAAAAGTTAATCTGACATGAATCAACATTGCAGCGTTTGGTGGAAAGATAAACCTTCAACGCTGCAAAGTTGACTTCTTTCATAGCATCTACAGAACGTTTGAAAAGCAATTCTTTGATTCGAGCAAACTTACCCAGGAATAGAACACTTGTAATTTGCCTTAAGGAAATATCACTTACCAAATTAACCTGTTTCAGACTGAATGTATTTTTAAATTTTCCTATTCTCAAGCTTGTAGCGAATCTATCTGGCTGAATTGAAAGTTCTTGCGGTTTCCACATAAATTTATTGTTCTACAAACCGCGAGAACTTTCCCTCCAACCGAATACGTGAACGATATGCCATATTAGCACAGTAAACGACACCAAAATGATCAGCTTTTAGAAATAAAAAATATAAGTAAAAATAAAATTGAATATCGTCCTTTTAAACTACAGTAATAAAAATTGGCATGGCACGGCACAGAATATAAGACACTGCACAAAGAAATTAGGAACAAATGCAGGCAGGCTAAAAAGGAATGACTCAACGAAAAATGTGCAGGAATAGAAAGAATGAGTATCACAGATAAAGTAGATATGCATAAACAGGTAAAAAGATATGCTCATCAACAGGATGCATAAAATAATATATGTTTAAATAATCATCTGCTGCCCCAATGCCCTATATATATATATATATATATATATATATATATATTTTGCATGAAGCATTCATTCTAAAAACAGATATAGAAGTTATCATCAGGTATGGAAATAGATTTGTTTTTTACTTCCCGGGAAGAAAACAAATCTATTTCCATACCTGATGATGTCTGTATGCACAGATGAAATCTTGTAAAAAAATATGAAAAAAGACCTTATGCAACTGGAATTTATAAACAGGGATCATAACATTCATCTAGAGGTTCGGGTTAATGTAATTTATTAAATTTGTTTGCGAAGATGTATTCTCGCCATTTATATCATTAACTTCTATATCTGTTTTTTGTATGAATGATTCATGTAATGTAAATTCAACTGCACCGCATACTTGATATATATATATATATATATATATATATATATATATATATGTATATATGTGTGTGTGTGTGTGCGTGCGTGCGTGCGTGCGTGCGTGTGTGTGTGTATGTGTGTGTAATCAATTCACCCCAAGCCAAAAAATGCCAGTAAGATACTGAAGGCTACTGGGAGTGAAAGTGAATGAAATATACTTTAGAAGGAACTGGAAACCCAATTTGTTATAACACGCTTCATAGTGCTTATAATATAAGTAATGCTTCGGCAACTTGCCATGATGCCTGTTACTAATTAGTCTGAAGACTGAACTCCAAATGGCTTCTTTGTCTTACCTCTGACTTGGAGCTCTATATTTATAGTTATGGATTAGTTCATATAGTCACTGGGTGTGTACTATTTACTCCACAACATTTCCCCCTTTTGAGATTAATACTTTTTATAAATATTCTATTTTTTATTAGTATTAGTATCTGCACCGCCTCTTTCCAAAGAATTTGCCAATGTACTTGATTTTGTAGTGTTTCTATCTCGGGTCCGCTTCCAGTTCTTCAGTACGCTTTTTTCTTTTTCTTGAACTTGTGAAAGGAGAAATATATGGAAAGTGTGAAAAGCAGATACGAGAAACAAAATAAAAACTCAAACTGGGACACATTTAAGTGAAGCTTTAGTAACATCAGCAATTGAGATCATCTCAAAGAAAAATAGATGAAAAAATAAATGAGTGGATGACATGAAATTCTCAAAATGATGAAAAGGAGAGAAAAAAATAATGTTACAACATGGAATAGAATATAGGACACTACACAAAGAAATAAGGAACAAATGCAGAAAGGTTACTGAGGAATGGTTCCATGAAAAATGTGCAGGAATAGAAAGATTGAGTATCACAGATAAAGCAGATATGCATCCAAGAAATAAAAGAACTAACAGGACAAAGATGCATAAAATCCAAGGACGGAATGATGATATTAGAGAAAGAAGGATTACTTCAGAGATAGATCGAATACATCGGAGAACTCATCTACAACAAAATAAGACGCAGAAATATCGATGGACCGGAAGAACTAAAATCTGAAGTGAAATCAGTATTGACCAAATTGAACAGAAACAAAGCAATAGGGCCAGATGTTGGCAGTCTTAGATGATTCCGGTATTGACAAGATTACAGGCATAATGAATGAAATATATAACAGTGCCGATATACCAGAAGAACTAAATAGAACCATTTTCATAGCACTAAGAATCCAGGTGTCAATGAAAGTGAACACCATCAGTATAACGAGACATATAACAAAACTTAGCCGAATTTTGATTAATAGAACGTGCGACAAAATTAAACCGGGAATAGGATAAGAACAATGTGGGTACGTTAAAAACACGAGAAAAAAAAAACATGTCTCCCCGAATCTTATAGATTATACAAAAGCGTTTGACAAACTACGCCTCAAAGAACTGTTGGAGCAACAAGGTAACCTTGACATATTTAGAAAGGATATTAAAATAATCCAGAACTTATACTGGCAGCAAACCGCCTGTATACGGATAGAAAATAATTTCAGTAAATATACAAAAATAGAAAGAGGTGTAAGACAAGGATGGGTCTTCTCCCCGGATTTCTTCAAAGGTGATTCTGAGAGAATTAGAAGTCCTACCAGGATTCATTATTGGTGGCCACAATCTTAATAACATAGGATATGCAGATGACACAGTATTGATAGCTGTTATGGTCCGGTTCCTTGTACCACGGTGATAGTCCAAGGTAGAACCAATAAAGAAGAACTCGAAAAGGGATATGGAATAACACAGATATATTACAAACAGGAATATATGCAGAGAGGTAGAAAACTGTTAGTACGAACAATCAGTTTTAGTAGTAATTGTCTGAACACGACTCTGTTTCGAACTTCCTCAGACTCGACTGACTGACTCGCTCGCTCTGACTGACTGACAGACTCCTGACGGACCTCACTTCAGACTGAACGGTATTTAGTCACCCCACCACGAGGGCATCATGTGGCACAAGGCCGGTTTAATGTGGGATCTCCGAGCCCGTGGGCTCGGCCAAAAATATGCCCTTTGAACCTATATAAACGGGTTCAGGGTCGGTTTACCTCCCTGAAAGAGACTCCGCCCTTCGGCGTAGCCTCGTTCGAGTTCCTCCCCGCCCGAAGGCAGAGAGTTCAACCGATCAGCCGGTCAGCCGGTCGCCCGACTTCGGACTGAACTCCCTGCTTCCTCTTGAGGCGCAGTGTTTATTACGTATGGAATAGTCCATTATGTTATCATGGGTAAGGTCCCATAACAATAGCAAACCAAAAAGGTAACTTCATGAATTCCTATAGAAGGTAGTGAATGAAAGCGAGGAAAATAACTAAACAGAAATTGCAAGAAGAAAAAATGCATTGTTGTCAGCAGAAAGAACAGCCCAACATGCAAATTGCAAAATCAAAGCAAGTAAAACAATTAAAATATTGGCAAAGTGTCTTAACAGAGGACAGAATGTGCGACACTGAAATCAGCGGGTCACATTGAGACAGGGAAAGATGCCTTCCAAAAGCTAAGCAAAGTATTAAGAAACAGAAAGGTTTCATTAGAAACAAAGAAAAGAGTACTGAACTGTTACGCAATAGCAGTCTTATTGTATGGCAGTGAATACTGGACCATCTCCTCACAGATGAAGAAGAGATTTACAGCAACAGAAATACGATTCTACAAAAGGATGCTGAGGTTATCATGGATCGAAAATGTGAGCAACGGGAAACCTGTAGAGAAAATGGAAACAAAAAGGACACTTATACTTAATATTAGGAAGAGACAGATGAAATTTCCAGGGTACATAACGAGGAAAGGACAGAATGGAAGTAATAGACAAAGAGGGAAACATGACAAAACCTACATGGGGAACTTGAGTAAATGGATGGCTGAACAAGGTTTAGGAGAGATAACAAAAAGACAAAAATTATTAAGAGCTACAAAGAACAGGAAAGTGTAGAGAGCCATGATCGTCTCTGTAGACGAACATAGTACATAGAAGAATAAAAATTGTGGTTGTGTAACGGATATTGGCTCGAACAGTGTAATCGGCGAACAGCGTTCAAATTCCAGGCCTGTTTTTTGCATTCACTTTCACACAAATGTCCTTGGGAAAATCAGGAATCCGTCTCCTCTCCCTCATGCCCAGCAACGGGTTAATTAAAAGGGTAGACTAAACTCTTTACGCCTGGGTAGCAACTAGTCTAAGAGAAGGAAAACTATTGATTCCAATCTGTGGAGAAGGAAATTGGAAACAGCTCCACTATCTTTCTCAAGAATTTATGGTAATTCGCTGACATTGAAGAAAAGGAAGCTGTAGAGATCCTTGATCGCCTATTTACTGAACGGGCACGGTATTTAAAAAAAAATGTATATCATTTTGTACTTAGGCAAAGCTAATTTTTTTTGGTAAGTTTTATTGGTGAAATGCTTAGTTATCTGGTATTTGGAAAAATTAAATTTGAAAGAAAAACTTCAAACGGAATTAGCATCTACGCCGACATTCGCATGTTGCTTTTATAAGGAGCTTTATAATGGACATTCGCCCCTGACTTATAAATGTGTGGTTTTACAGGAAGACACCGAGAATACCATCGACGGAGCGCACAAGCAACGAAGAAGTCTTAAGAAAGATGGAAACAAAAAGAATCCTTACACTATTCCGAATCAGAAAGAGATAGCTGAAACTTAAAGAGGAGAGAAAGCTTGGAGAATATAACGTTCCCAGACGATATAGAAGTCAAAATGGGCAAGGGCAGTGAACCACTTAATCTGACTAGATTGTGTAGATGGATGTCGGAACGGGGAGTGGAAAGGCTTGGCAAAGGGACAAACGTTGCTTAGAGCTGCAAGAGCTGCGAAGAGTCATGATCGCCCACTGAAGGGACACGGTATATAGAAGAAGAAGAAGAAGAAGAAGAAGAAGAAGAAGAAGAAGAAGAAGAAGATTATTATGATGATAATGCTAAACGTTTCGCCTCTCCGTCCTGTCTTGTAGATAAAACTACAGTTTTCCATGGTGGACATGTACCTTGGATAGGACAACTTAATATCATGTAAAACTGATTTGGGCTTTGAGACATTGTTTCTGAAAATATTTTCTGTGATCTTTAAAGATATTGACTTATTGATGAATAAACATCATTTTAAATTATATATTGGACATTCAATATATGAGATGAGTACTACACTATTAAAAATGTGGCTCAGGTTTAAATTCAATTTTATGAGGTATCTACTCAAGTTAACCTCATTATACCCATGTCCTGAAGCGACACGGTACAAAGAATCATCATCATCAGTGGTTAATTGGGGCAAGAAATGTCTTGTAAATTTTGAAGCCACCAAAACAAACCTACTTTCATTTAATCATCAGAGAACCTTTTCTGCCTGCTATAAGGATAACTGATGCTAGACACCAGGAGAGCAATACACTACGCTTTCTTGACCTCACTGACATGAAGAGAGGCGACTATATCGAATCAATAGCTGCAGCTACTGCAAGGAGAGTCCCTGTGATAGAAAATTTTTCTAGTCAGAATCCATCTTACACAATCCCAAATCTACTCTTCGCCCGACCATTGAATATTGTTGCCGTATTTGAATTTGGTGCTCCTGCTGTACTGATGCTTGGCAAAATTCAAGGAGGACGTGTAATGTAATCGATCTTGAACGGGCGTCTTGACTTCAGTCACATCTTTCACACTAACGTGACAAATATTTTCATGGTAATTGCTCTGACGAGCTTTTTTTACTTGGTACCCCGACTCAATGAATGCATGCGTGTTACTAGTTTGGTAATTTGGTCTCACCCTTTTACTGTTGAACTAGCTAGATGCAACCGCCACTTGTACTCCAAAAGTATCTTTTATCGCATTTCCCATTTATGGTACCCTCTTCCGTTTACTTGCTTCCATGATAACTACAATCTACAAAAATTTAAATGTAACGCTAAATCGCCATTTTCTGTCAACTTTGCCCCTTTTTTTAATCCTCCATTTTTCTGAGTCTTCTCTCACTTTCCTTCCCTGTAACCTCCTGCGTGGATTAAATACTGTCCGTAGATTAAATACTATCTGTGTATTAATTACTGTCGGTGGACTAAATACTGTCCGTAGATTAAATACTGTCTGTGGAATAAAGACTGTGGATGTAACCTCCTGCGTGGATTAAATACTGTTCGTGGATTAAATACTGTCTGTGTATTAATTACTGTCTGTGGACTAAATACTGTCCGTAGATTAAATACTGTCTGTGGAATAAAGACTGTGGATTAAATACCGTCTGTGGATTAAATACTGTCCGTGGATTAAATACTGTCTGTATTAATTACTGCCTGTGGACTAAATACTCTCCGTGGATTAAATAGTCTCTGTGGAATAAAGGTTGTGTATTAGATACTGTCTGTGGATTAATTAATGCATTCAATAGGCCCTGTGAGTGTTCAGTTTTCCAATCCCTCTTTCTTAGAAATTATTACCGCCACTTTCCGATTCTAATTATAATGGCCGCTTTTTGTTCTCATTTGTTTTCGTTTCCTTAAAACCTTCCAGTTACATTCTTCTGCTGAACTACATCTCTGTTGCCTCAAGTTTCCTCTTTATCTGTGGGGAGATTGTCCAGCATTCACTGTCGTATAGTAGGACAGATATTATGAAGTAGTTCAGTTTTTTTTTTTTTTTTGTTTCTAACGAAATAATTTCTGTTTCTTAATACGTTGCTTAATTTCTGGTAGGCATCTTTTACGATCTCAATGTGCCTTCAGAAGTCGAATCAAAGAAGGAGCAACATTACACGAATTTTTCGTTATAATAGTTTTCTTACGGCAATAATCGATAGCAGACGGCATGGAAGAAGAAACGAGATGATTACTATTAGACAGTGTTGATTTTCTATTTATAAAGATGTTTAAATAAAGCAAGAATAAAACCAAGTCTTCGTCGGACGCAACAGGCAATATCAGAAAAGAAAGCATTTTTAATCTTCTTTCATTAATTGATAGCTTTTGTTTACTCTGCTCCATTCTGACGCCTACTGGGATAGAGTTACCAGTCTTCATGCAAAGTTCTTGCACCAAGTGTCTTGCCAGACGGAATTGAGGAGTCTGACAATTTTCTGGCCATTGGTCTGAGATAATTCACTGACTGATAAGATCTTTTATAGCCCACTGATGCGATTATATGCTTACTAAAGTGATTATCTTGCATTCGAAATTAATTTTCAACAGAACTGATAATAACACTAATGATCTATATCTATAGTTTTTTCATTTTTTTTTTATTTTGACATAAATTTATATCCATGTAAGTAAAAATGCAAATGACTGCATGTCTTGGTCATCCCTGCTTGCAAATCAACAACTGCTGTTATTTTGAGAGTCATTCGCATATTTACACAGACAAACAACACACACCTAGACATACCCAAGCGCGTTCACACACATGCACACATATACGCACACAAAATTACACAGTAGAATAAATATATATGAGTACACACGCACACATTGAAACATACATATATGTATCTATTATATGTGTGTGTGCGCATTTTTACACATACATACGTATATATATATATATTTTAGCACTTCAAATGTTCTTTGTAGTGGTTACTCGTAATTGAGTCGACTCTCCGTTTATTTATTAAACGGCATTTCTATTTATTTTTGTCTACAGGCCTGAGAAATCTTATTAAAGAAAAATGTTATTAAAGAATGGTTTGAACATGCATTCCCATGGTCCGAGGGAACCTTCATTAGATCCGACCTGCTCCACACCGACTTCCCAGGGGGATGCAATTTCGAATCCTGTCGAAGAGCGCATATTTTCCTTTAATAAGATTTCCCTTTTATTTTTATATATATATATATATATATATATATATATATATATATATATATATATATATTTCTTCAAAATATAGTTTTAAGGTGTGCTATATTTTTGGCATAATGTGCTCAATATCAGAGATAGAGTGTATGTAAATATGAATATGAAAGTGAACATTGAAGTCAACACACAGAAGGACAACCTTTAATGTAATAAGAAATATTTTAAAAAATAGTATATATATATATATATATATGTAAGCAAATATATGGATATAGATCTGACAGTATGAAGAAAAAACGTCCGACGTTGACTTTATATTAACATTAATACAGCATAATTGCATATTAAGATTTTTGTTTGATTTTTCTGTATATTTTTCTTCATATATATATATATATACCTAAGGTGTTTAAAACGCATTAAATAATGAAAAATCTTTCTTGAGGCTTTTAGTACTATTTCCAAGCTAATAGATTGAATTTAATATTTCAAAAAAAGCAAAATATTTTGCCTTATTTATATATATATATATATATATATATATATATATATATATATATATATAAGGGCTAAAAATTTTTAGCATTCGAAGTTGAGAAGTGCTCTTTGTAAAGTTGATGTAGACGCGATCCCATAAGATATTCAGTGTGATCTTGTACATTAAACAAATATTTCCTTTAACTTATAATCATTAATAAAAAAAATTATTTAATCAATCAATAAATAAAAACATAGACATTTATTGTTTAAATATCTATGTTTTTATTTATTGATAAAATAAACGAAACAGAATACATCTATATATTTGCAAAAAATTTTAGAAACGTTATTATATATATATATATATATATATATATATATATATATATATATGTAGTTAAAAAAAAAAAAAGGAAGAGCAGCAAGATATGTAATCCGGTGTTCTTATTGATATTTTTATTTTTACAAAACAGTGTTCAATGTAAATTTACAGAGCATAAATATTGTAAATTAGGTCATTTGAAAATATGGTTTCATGGCTACACAGGAATTACCATGTTTCAAAAACAGAAAACAAAAACTTCAAATTCAATTATATTAAATTAAAGCATTAGTCCTGTTTCATCTTCAAGCGAATTTGGTTGTGTAGCGATGAAACCATATTTTTTGAATCATATATATATATATATATATATATATATATATATATATATATATATATATATATATATATATATATATATATATATATATATATATATATATATATATATATATATATATATATATATATATATATAGCAAATATATGGATATAGATCCGACAGTATGAAGAAAATATATACGGAAAAAACAACGTGACCATGTTTTAAACGGAGCGCTGATCTTATAAAACTTTCAGTTATCTGTTTGGATAAGTCTTGTTCTTATGTACATCGTCTTTGTCATGTTGAATTGATAATGTTAATTATATTTTATGAATATGTCCTGAAGATGGTTTATTAGACCGAAACGTCCGACGTTGACATTATATTAACATTAAAACAGCATAATTGCATATAAGGATTTTTTGTTTGTTTTTTCCGTATATATATATTTTTTTCTATATATATATATATATATATATATATATATATATATATGTGTGTGTGTGTATAGTAAAATTTTGCAATATTTACGGCGAGAATGTTTTCAATATCAGAGAAAGGTATGACTCCACCTTTTTTTTCTCTCAGCTATATGTTAATTACAATCTCAAAATGTCTGGCTTTAAATGGTTATTTGTTTCTTTCTTTCTTTTTTATCTATCTCAGTCTGTTCACATCTATCTATCTATCTATTTATCTATCTATCTATCTCAGTTCAAATCTAGGTCTGTTTATCTATCTATCTATCTATCTATCTATCTATCTATCTATCTATCTATTTACGCACGTAATCTTGCGGTTATATTAACACGAATGCAAACACATTTAAAAGGAAACAAAAAACAAGAAAATATTTACACTTTTTTAAGCTCGGAATTATATTGTGAATGTCCGTTAAATGGTAGAAATCTAATTAATTCCTTTTAAAAAGCGTTCTATTGTCAACGATAAAATTGAAAGAAATTAAAATCGCTCGTCCGAAATTTTATTGTAGCAAACCACAAAGTTATAGTCATTAAAGACAGTTATTATATTGCCACGCACACACTCATCATAGATAGATAGATAGATGTGGTGTTTCAAAGAACAGGATATTTTTTAAGATCTAATTTAAAAAATCTTAAGAGTATTTTCTTTGTGAAATTTTAATGATTTCCTTTGTGAAAATCAAACCTTGTCTTCAAATGATTTTTCTTTTACTTTAGAAAACAGAATGTTAAAAAAAAAAGATTGAATGTAAAAAAATATTTTAATTCATTTTGGAATAGCCCGTTTGCCGCAAACACACGCATATACACATGCTCATCTATAGATACGCATATATGTGTGCATGTATGTCTATGTATTCGTGTAGAAAGAGAAAGAAGAGGAACAAAAAAAAAAGAAAGGCAGAATGGTAAAAATTGATGGTCAGGAAAGAGAAAAAGAAAGTGCTTATATATATATATATATATATATATATATATATATATATATATATATATATATGTGCGTGTGTGTGTAAAGAGAGAGAGAGAGAGAGAGAACGAGAGATAGGGAATGGGAGTTTATCGGCTTGTGTCTATATATAATGGTTGTTTGACTCTTTTTGGCTGCTCGATTGAACGAAAGTAATCAAGATATATTGATAAAGATTTTACGAATTGTTTTTATTTGCAAACTAATGCTTTTAAACTCTTGCGGGAATCATTATAAAATAGTTCAGGAATTTTTATATTTTGTCAAAAAATTTAGATCGGTTGATTCTAAGAAAACGTAAGAGAGACTGGTACAGAGAGAATGACATATACCTGACCTATTTATTTTTATACCGAAAAGCAGAAATACGCATATGCGTGTGGTGGATTTCTATGCGTCGCTTAGACGTGGCCCAAAACCCAAAGTACGGAGCAACCAGTGAGGAGCGAGCTTGAAACTCAGTCGTAATGGATCTAGCGAGACAAGCTTGCTAACCATTACACAACGTCAAAGTGCCATTTGATTTTCAAAAGTAGCTTAGATGTGGCACAAAACCCAACGTACGGGGCAACCAAAGTACTGGGTACTGATAGAGTGAGACAAACTTGCTAACCATTACACCACGTCGGCTTTGTCAGAGAGGAACCCGGACGAAGCTTTGCCGAAGGGCAAGGTTTCGTCCGGGCAGGTAGACAGGCCCTGAACCCGTCTAAGCGGGTTCAAAGGGTATATTTTTGGCCGTGCCTACGGGATCGGAGAAACCTACTTTAAACTCGGCCTCGTGCCACATATATTCCTCGTGGGTGGGATATTAGATACAGAGATACGTTGAGATAGGTTGAGAGATACGGAGACAGACACAGGGTGTTGTCAGAGAGTTATACAAGAGTCCAGAGAGAGAGAGAGAGAGAGAGAGAGAGAGAGAGAGAGATGATTACGGCTTTACTTACAGAGACTTGTACATATACTTTATACTAACCCGCATTCCTGGACTACTATTCTTCACTTCAAGTCTATATTCTTACGTTTAATACACTTATTTTTCTATCTCAATTTCTGGTGTTGTTTATTTATTTGTGCAGGATTCCATTCACGGAATCCACAACAATGTCCAAAGAATTTCAGCTGTCTTTTTCTGATTTTGAGTAAAAGTGTTCTTTTTAGGTTTCTCAGAATACAAGGAATATATCTGAGTAATCTCAATGAATTTAATTAAAAGATGATATGAACACAAAAATACAAAACACCATATTAAATGCATCATTTGTCCACCGTATTGAGACTGGCCACATAAAAATTGCTACCCAGTCCGTCTCAAAGAATGAATGATTTCTGGTTGAGCATCTGACATTTTCAGATGAAAACGAAACATATTCTTAACAAGTTTGTCCTCTCAAACATCCTTAAGACAGATATATAAGTTTCTAATCTTTCCTATGCACACATTCTAAATACCTTCTGGATTTTTTTCTATCATTTCAATAAACAAATGAAAAAGTAATATTATAAGGACGTCGTCACCAGATAATGAAAATGTAGAAAATAATTATTCAAAGACGAAATTCTAGATTAAAACAGAAGATGGCTGCCACATATCGCATTATTGCTCTTGTGAGATGCCCTGGAAGATAAATCGTATTTCTGTCAAGGCTATCATCTCCATTTTTGAAATTTAATTTCAATCATCTTATCACAATACAAAATACTAATTGTCGGAAAAATATAATTCTTCTCCACACGTGAAAATGGCCATGCTCTGTAATTACTGGTTTCTACCATCACGCACTCCATCATAAAAATAACAGCTTTTAAGAAAAACCAAACTAATATCCAAATAGTAGACAATTATTTTGCTGCTTGTTTTCGTTTTCTTCTTCTTCTTCTTCTTCTTTTTTTCCATTCTTCTTCTTCTTCTTCTTCTTTCCATTCTTCTTCTTCTTCTTCTTCTTCTTCTTCTTCTTCTTCTTTATTCGTCTTCTATTACTTCTTTTTTCTTCTTCGTCTTATGCTTCTTCTTTTTTGTCATCTAATTTCTTGTTCATCATCATATTTTCTTCGGCTTCTTTTTTCTTTTTTTTCTTCTTTCCTGCTACTTTTTCTTTTTCTTCTTCTTCTTCTGCTTCTTTTTTGTCATCTACTTTTCTTCTTCATTATTTTCCTCATCCTCCTCCTCTTCTTCTTCTTCTTTCTGCTGTCTCCCTTTCGTTTAAAGTCTACTTTTTGTCTCCATTTTCCTTAAAATATTGTCCTTGCTCATGGTATTTCTAGCATCCTTCTGTCTATATTTCTGAGATGAGGTATTATGTACTCTATTTACATTATTCGGACTATTGTCCTCATCTTTGTTGCCATAATTATTACAACGCCGAAACGTTGTAATAATTATGGTATCCTTTATTTCACTCACTGGGGTAGACTGTTCTAGTTCTACGTTCCATGTTTAATAGATGTCAGTTATCAGTTATCTCCTGTTAATTCCCCACTTCAAGTTCTCCACTGCCATAACCAGGTATTGAACTCACACTCTTTGGGTCCTGTCACTGGATCTAATTAACGCCTTTATCCTTTGTGCCTTGAGGACATCTGTGTATAAATTTCTGGGTATTATAAACCTAATGTCTTCAGCAACCATTTTTAACCAGTGCTCATTTTTTGCTCAAATTTTTGCTGTTATCATTTAATGTTTTTACTAGAGCTCATATTGCAATTTTTATTGTTATTATCGCTTTTCTCTGGCACTCCTTATTACTGGTTCCCATATTGTATTCATTTCTATGCTTCGTCGGCTCAGGAGATTTTTTGTGGCCTAGCATATGTGCTGATTCCTTAACTTTACGAATTTTCCAATGGTGTTCTTTGTCTATGATCTTTACCTGATCCCTTTTCTCTCCATATATGGTCAGCCACGCCTGCTTTTTCCACATCCCCTCATGTTACAACTTTCTGGTGTTCTTGAAGCCTTACCTTAAGGGGGCGGCCTGTCTCCCTATCTCGTATTGAGTTCACATGGTCCAGTAGAACCTGAACATCTTCCTGGTGTGGCCAAAGTATGATGGTATCATCCACGTACCTCAACTATAGAGTTGGCTTTAGAGATATAGATTCTTATGACATTTCCTCAAAGTATTCCATGTATATATTCGCCATTGCTGGTGATAATGGCGAGCCCATTGCTAAGCCCTCATCCTGTCGATATATGTGTGATCCCATTCCGAAGTGTGTTGTTTGTGTACAGAAAGTACACTCCAGGGGAGAAAAGGCTGCTTTTATTAAGTTTTAGAATTTAGGATACAAAAGGTAGTTTGTAATGTTGATCAGCACACATCAAGGGTCCCTAGCATGTCGTACATTTCATAGTATTGTATGGAGGGTACTTCAACAGCAGCACCTGTATCCGTATCATTTTCAACGTGTGTAGGGTCTTTTGCACTCTAACCATTCACTACGGAAGAACTTTTGCCTATGGTTTATTGCACAAACTGCCGATCCGTTGTTTAACTCTTCAGTCTTGTTTACGAATGAGGCAACATTTGGAAGAAATGAAATAATAAATTTATTCAAACAACATTTGTAGGCGGATCGGAATCCCCATGGTACAATATAGCCTAGACACCAGTATCAGTTTCCGATTAATGTGTGGGTTGGAATCGGTGGTTCATGCATGATGAGCCTCCAGTTAGTCACATTGTTCGCGATGCAGTGGCTGACATCTATCATAAAAATTGAATGGCCTTCACGTTCCTCCGACTTCAACTCTTTAGATTTTCATCTGTGGGGTGATCTAAAACGATTTATGCAGCAGATATTAATAATGTAGAGACGCTACATCAACGTGTCATAGCGGCTTGCGAAACTATTTGATACCGTGTGGGAGTCTTTAAAAAGATCCGCCAGTCAATTATCTGACGGGTGCAGGCGTAGATAAAAAAAAGCGGAGGGAATTTTGTACATTTTTATGAGTTGCTGTGTTAAGATGGGCATACGCTTATATGGACATTTTAACTTATTTTGGGTTCAGGAACCAAACCCCCAAAGCCTGTAAAAATATTTTTGATACACCCTATATATATATATATATATATATATATATATATATATATATATATATATATATATATATATTTGTGTGTGTGTGTGTGTGTGTGTGTATTTTAGGCAGCAAATTCTCTTTTAGGCATGTCTTATTGATTAAATTACAAGCATCATATCTACTTATTTTTATCATAATCCTTTCATATTTACAAATATTTTTCTGTTTTTTTTTTTTACTCATTTGGCGTAGATAGTATTCGCTTCGTTTTTTTTTTTTGTTTTTTGGTTTTTTTGGTAGGATATCAGGTATATTAAGCTATTTCTTGAAGAGTGCAGCTTATTATTATTATTATTATTATTATTATTTATCTCAAATTTCAGGTCAATTCTGCATTAAATTAACAAAACCTTAAATAATCAGCCTACATCGGAAGGAAGAATATGATTCTGAAGAGTTTCCCGAAGCATTTGCCTTTTCTATATTTGATGGTCTTACCGCGACAGCGCTTTAACAAATTGCGTTACAGAAACTAACCAGCAAGTATAATTTAAATTTAGTCGTTTGAGTATATTTTTCATCACACGATTGTCCTTAATTTTGTGACAATCATTTCTATCATCTTCGTATAAAAATAAAACGAAAGAAAAACAACTAAAACTAAAAGTTATTAAAGAAAGGAATATTTTTCTTTAGTATGCAGATTTAAAATTTTGACTTCAGCAAAAATATGGCAAATTTAGTTTTAAAAAAGAACAATATTTGATATTTTTCTTATACCGCATTTTTTTAATAAAACTTTTACACAAATTAATTTTTTTTATAAAACTTTTACACAAATTAATTCAATTATCAATGTAGTAAGTACGGAACTATTTATTAAATCCCAATAATTTGCTGAATTTCCGTAAATTTATAGAATGCTGGTGAATCAGACGTTTAAATTTGATTTATTTCTTTTGATATTTGAAGCACACTTAAATCTTCAAGTTTTTTTGGAAGTTTTGTTTATGTGCCATGCCACTTCCAGACGCAGGCGATTATGGCCCTTCGCAAAATCGGTTTCTTTATTATCTGGGAATTGTTCTAACTTATTGGGAAAGACATTGGAGTGGTTTCCCGTTTCCGTTTCCTCGTCTTTTTTTTTTTGTTAATTCAATGTCTTTCTCCTAGATTAATGGTCAGCCAAAGTTAGAGATCACATTCTAGTATATTTAACTTATAGCTACGAGGAAACGAGATGGATTCGTGCTTTTTCCAAGGGTATTATTGTGAAAGTGAATTCAGCAGCCTAGGCAAAACTTGGCTCAGAGTTTCCATGTTTCGCATCAATCACTGTTACCCTGCCCATAAACTTTTAATTTCAATATATATTGGGTCAAATATAATAATAATAATAAAAAAAAGATTTCTATATCAGAATATTTTATCTTTTTCTAATGGCGTAAAATCTATCAAAATCGAATTAATTTTAATATGCGATTTAAACTGATTTTTCTTCAATAATAATTAGCCTATATAAGGCCCAAGTGCCACTCAAGTTAGAGGGTTACTGAAGGAGGTGGTACTAGCGGTAGATTTGTGTAAAGAACTAAAATTACTGTTTTTGGCGGTCCAACATGTGCTGTTGACAGCACCAATTATAATAACGTACAACAATATTTCATATAGATCATAATCTTACTTATTATAAAACGCAGATTGTGTGTGTGTGTGTGTGTGTGTGTGTGCCTGTACGTTTAGACATTGGATCGGATTTCCTACATTTTTCAACTGATTTCAACAAAACTTCACAGGACTGCGTAAAATTACCTTGCGATGGTTCTGACAGCGCCAAGAATTGGAAAAACACATTTGTTTTTGCACGAAATCAATTTGAAAACACGATAAAACAAGATTCTGTCGCCAGAATGAAAGGGGGACAACTCATATCGAGTTATACTTATAAAACCCAGGTTGTTTGTGTGTGTGTGTGTGTGTTCGTTTATATATGGGATCGGATTTCCTACATTTTTCAACCGATTTCAACAAAACTTCACTTTTTTTTTTTGGCAGGTAGTGTTTCTTATTGTCTTGCACACTTTTTTCTTCATTTTTACATTCAGAATGCTTTTAAAATTCCATTTACAAGACAATTGTTTATAATAAAATTCTATTCAATCGATAGACTCATAATAATTAAAAACAATGTTTTTATTTGATTTTGACCAATTCGTAAAAAAAAAAAAATGAACTAATTAAGACATGCGTGTCCGTCAACCTTAAACAATAATCTTTGTCAATTTTATTTTTCAGTCTTTATGATGGTCGATACTTGATCTATCTCTTACTGTCACATCCCCGGGCAACGCCGGACTCTACTGCTAGTAATATCTAATATACAGAGTGGCCGAAAGTCTTGTCACCCCCTGCCAAAAAGTAATACGAAAAATAGAAGAACAATTGTAAAAAAAAAGTCTACCATATGCCGACACTTAGAAATGATAGGGAAATTCAGCAAGCTCCATTCACAACAGAAAGATAACCCATTCCTTACATACGACAATGTTCAGCACAAAGAGTAGATAAATCTTCACAACCGACTCGTAAAGGTAAACTTCATGGAAGAAAGCTAATGTTGTGCATGTGGTGTCATCGTCAGGGTATAATTCATTTAGAATTCTTAAAACGATTTGAAACACTAAATGCAAATGTATAAGCCCAACAACTGCAATATGTCCATAACAGTTTGGTCGAAAAGTGCCTTGCCCTCGTCAATGGAGACAATGAACTACATTCAGCAGCAAGGCTTCTGATCGAGAGATTGGAGATTTTCAGGAACGCGGAATCAGCTCTTAATTGCTGTAAAGTTCACCGTGGCCCGGGGTGGTAGCACCTGTTACGGTCCCAGCTATGGGCAAATTGTGAACCCTCGAAAAAAACCAAAACCCTATGAAAGTATAAAAATGTCAGCAATGAATATTTAAAGTGTTATGGTAATTTACCCACGCACGCATGGACTCTCCCAGCTATAAACAGGAGCAGGTACTGCCTTTTGGAAGTGGGAAATTTCCAGCAGTCAGCTCTGACAGTCGGACCGAACATTCTTGCTATAACATACTCGTTTGTATATGTTTGTATTACTGTTTAATTAATATATTTGTTTAACTCAATTCCTCTCTTG